CCATCTCATAGAGGTTTATCATTTTTGTACAGGAATAAAATCTTGGAGGAACGGGGTGGGATCAGTAATACCATTACCACTTCATCACACCGAGGTCATATAGCTCACGTTGTAGAGCTCCCGCTTCGCATGCGGATGATGCAGGGATCAATCTCCTGTGATGTTTCATTTTGTACCAGAATTGCAAGTGTGAATGGAATTTCTGTTAGCATTGTTTGAAGTTTACATGTTGCACCACTAGGTTGCTGCTACTCAATACACAATGGCAGAACAAAAATACGACCACAAGTATGGCAGGATTGGCTTTGGTCCCATCGTTGCTTTGGTCGTTGTAGAGCCGGATTTGGCTCTTCTCACATGTGTGCGTACCGTTCGTTGCGGGATGCCATATGCTATGGCACCGGATGGAATGGTGTGTTGCTTCTTGATCATGTTGCTCACTGCTGCTGCAATCTCGTCGGGTGTGTACAGGGTTCTTGGCGGCACTATTCAAGGTTGACACACTTGTTGCCTCTGAATTCTAATGTATATTCCCACCATAAAATTATGAGGCGTTTATTTGTTGGAGTTACGAATTTTATCCAATCACAAGTTTCTTGCGATACTATTGGGTGATAGAGCTTGGCTGATCACTGAGAGTTCGGCCGATCACTGAGAGCCGACGTGTTAGCAGAATTTGTCTAATAGACAAATTTACAGAGATCCACCAGATTTCGCTCCACCTTCAAAATATAAATTCTAACAGACATTTGGAAACACAAAAAAAGCAGAAACAAAATATTGTAAAGGTGATGTTGGGCTCAGTTGAGGAAAGTTGCAATCGAATGGCCTGAGGTGATCCGCACCGAATGAAGCTGATCGAATAGTGCTTCACAAGTACAATACCCGTGCGGCTGCAGCAGTTTCGAATTGTCGTTGATGTCACGCACTCCCACGCTTGCTGCGACCACTGCATAGCAGTAAGAACGTCAACAGTGTACAATTTTTTCCCGCAGAGAAACATCCATTGGTAATTTTCTCCACGATAACGCGTTTGCCTTGAAGTAGGCTCGAATTAAGTTCTTGTCATGAATGGTCAATCGCTGGTTTCGCGGCTTAATGCTATCCTTTATTTTGCTGAATGCCTTTTCCTACTTGTCATCGGCACAGCCTCACATTTGAAATTACAAAACACGAACCAGCGCGTTCAAATGACCTCTGAAAGCTTAATGTTGAAATCGTATTACAGTATACAGTTCATACATTTTGAGTAGGGAGCAAAATGTGGTGGACTTCTGTACCAGTCAATCCCCTGCTTCACCTCGCCACTCAGGAGGTCAGTAAGTCTTTAAACCAGTTGCTGAGTCTTTCACGATTGGACTTCGTTCAAAACTATTCATCGAAACATATGAGACACTGTGAGAAGAATAAGTTACCTTGAAAATAGTCAGTTATGTTTATTTGACTCAAATCTGTTTGGATTCCGAAGTGATCGCGTAACTGATCAAATACGTCACGGCTGACAAATGGCCAAGTATTCAACAACTCCAAATGCAAGCTGTATTACTGTAGTGCTTGAGGACTGTCATGGCCATGAAGAAGCAGTCCTTCGGACTGGTCGTCGAGCGGCGACCTCGTCCCTCAGCCAAGCAGAGTTCATGGCGTCGTCTACGAATGACCACAGCGTTTCGAGCTCGGAGATGGTG